CTCTCAGGACGTCTTTCTTCCTCTTCTGCCACATTACCACAGAATTCTAAATCTGGCAAGGTGTCATTTGTTCTATTGCTCGAGTTGATTTGTGTTTACAAACTCTGTCCAAAGAGTGAACGACGAAATGTGGAGGCTGGAGGCACAGGGTCCCTAGGCTTGAGTTAAAAATCTCTCGCTGAGAATATAAGAGAAATAAAACCTCACTGGGAATAGAGAAAGGGGGAAAAGAAGTTTTAAACTCAACATTCGGGGGTTCTCACCCGTGAAACGCGCGGGACTCACAGACAATAAACAGCTTCCTCCAGGGTCTGGCCCTTCTCTTAGGGAATTAAGAAGGAAAGTCTTTGGAAACTAAGCCCCCTCTGGCTGGCTTGTGTTTGAAACTGCCCGCTCCTATTCTTAAGCTGCATAAAGACCTCAGAGAGTCTTCATCTGAAATCACAAAAGAAAGGCCAGACCCATTTTCTTCTCATTCCCTCTGAAGAGCTTAATCCTAGGTCAGGGGTCCCTAGGTCAGGGGTTCCTAGGTCAGGGGTCCCTAGGTCAGGGGTCCTTAGGTCGGGGGTCCAAAGGTCAGCCTAGGACAAAGGATGCCTTCCATTCAGTGGATTAAGGAACTTGCCAAGGTGGGTGTCAGGACCAGACCCTGTGTGTTGCTGGGAGACCCACAGATGGTGGAGTCCACTGCCCACTGCTTCCAGTCTCCTCCTTTTGGCCCTGTTGTTTCTATTTGAAAAACGTCTATCTTTTCTGTGAAGTTTTATTTTAAAATAAGAAAAACAAAAACATACTAACTTTAATTTCATTAAAACCCTGGGAGGAGAAAGGTGCATTTAACCTGTTTCATAGGTTAAGGGGAAAAAAAAGTTCAAAAACTAATTTTCATTTGCTACTTGTGTGTCTCCTGAAAAGCATAGAGACATTTGAAAAGCCATGGCTTTGCTAGGAAGAGGGTGGACACATTTTATTTGAAGGGGGAATTGATTTTGAAAACAAGGGGGTATGCCTAGAGTTGGGGGTTTCAGTTTTAATCAATGAGGCTATCCTCTCTTTTAATTTTTTTTGCTTACAATAATTTTCGTGCATTAAAATAAAACAAAACAAATACTTTTCAAAATCATACACAGATTCTTGATGAATGGAAAAATGGGACTAGGCTGTAAACTAAAAATCAGGATTTCTTTTTCTAAAACGAGGAAGAGAAAGTTATTTGGGACCCTGTAATCTTTTCTCCAGAATTTGGTATACGCTAGCATTGCCCATTCAAGAACATAAACATAAAAGCAAGGGTATCATAGTTATTATTAATTAATAACAATATCAATATTAATTATATTAAATGATAGTGATTAATAAGCATATCATTATTAATTAATAATAATTGCTGCTGCTATTACTGATATTGGTGTTGTTACAAGCTTGAGCCCTGTTAAAGAAAACTATTGGGAGACTCTTCTCTTATTTATAAAAAAAGAGGGGGTGCATTCTAACTTGTGGAATGGGGCTGGTGAGACGGAGCAAATGTGGTTATTAACCTTCCACAACAATGGCTTTCCCCAAATGGACAACATACATTTCGTGTTCACTTGGGAGACATTTGCAGTCAGTGATCTCCCAGGGCCTGACTAGAATTCAGAAGGCAGCAGCCTGGTAGGCACCTGTCGATAAAGGGGGGTTGTAAGACCAGAGGAGCACCTACAACAGTCATGCCCCCAGCTCCGAGGATCTTTCTTATGGGTGTGGTGAGTGGAAGCGTCTCAGAACTAGAGGCCTGAGCCTCCTCATCCTCACCTCACAACCTTTGGGAGAAGAGAAAGGTTCCTAACCTTTAATCCCTGCAACTTGAATGGAAATGCTTATGCAATGGGTGTTTTTATTGCCCACAACTGTTTTGAAGTATGAATGTGACTAGATGGAATACTTTTAAAAATGCAGAGTGCAGTTAAACCCATCATCACCACTGGCCAGTGGTGAGAGCCTTGAGGTCCCCCACCCTTTTCAAGTCAGGAAGGGACACACGCAGGAGATGGTCCTAGTTCTGTATGTGTCCTCCCATCTTTTCATGGGAAATCATGTCAACGAGCTAAAAATAAAATTACCTATTTAGGATAAAAATGTTTTTGAGAGAAATAGAAATTTCTTAAAGAGCCTCTGCAAAACATAGATGTTAGTAGTAGGCAGGCAAAAGCAAAGGCAAAAAAAAAAAAAAGTAAAATTTGGTGGGGGGGGGCGATAAGCTACGCCCTTCCCATGGTGAGCAGCTCAGTGGAGGCATTCTGAATTCAGGAAAAAAAAATGGCTGCATTAAAAAAAAAAAAATCACTTCGTACGTTGAGGTGCAGTACAGCATCGTACCACTTGGCAGCCAAATAAATTATTATACAATTAATTGTGATTTGCTATATAAATAAGGTACCACTACAGTGGTTATATTATGTATAGTGTTTACCTACACAATTGTAATAAAGGCAGGAGATACTAAAAAAAAATTCTGATCCAGTAGCCCCGTTAGAACTCAAGGAATAATACCTAAATGAGGTTTTGAAAAGAAAAAAAAAAGAAAAAGGTTTAACCTTCAAATTTATTTTAAGCTAACAGAAACATGGAAACAGCCTGTTATATTATTTTATATTATATTTAGTTTATATTAAAAACAAAAACCTCAGCTCTCTAGACACTATAAAATTTTTATTAAATTATCTTTATTTTTCAATCTATCATTTATCTTTAAAAAATAATTCCAGCAATATGATATTTGGGCAATAAAAACAGCTTATGCACACAGAAAAACACTATTTTTTTTTTTTTAGCAACAGATGAATGTGCATGGGGTAGGCGAAGAAGCATGTTATAGGATGGTCATTTGATCTGCACTTTCAGGGGTCTGAAGGCTCGGATACTTTCTTTAACACGGTGGAGCTAGAGAGCTAGTATAAGAGTCTTGTAAATGCGAGTAAATCCTTCTCTTCTGTTTCTTCCCTTCCCCAGTCAGTAGCAGGGATCCAGATACAATCCCTGTCTTGTTACTTTAGCAAAATGAAACTAGCCTGGTGGGAACTGCAGCCTGCTTTGGCAGACAGCAGTGCTGCAGTCTCACGGAGCAGGACGATGGCCATCTTAGCTCAGGATCAGGCAGGGCCTAGGCTAAGGCTGAGCAGCCTTGGCTGCTCTGGATGCTGCTGCTTCTAAAAGTCTGTAATGACTGTCATCCACAAAGTATGGGCAGCATAGGACCAAAGCACCTCAACAAATGCGCTTCTGCTTTGGTTTAATTATCCCATCTAGGAAAAAAAAAAATCAAGGGAAAGCAAGGGAAGCATTTATTATTCTGAAAGAACCTGGCCCCAAACATGGGGTTTGGTGCAGAGAGCTGCATTAATGGGTAGCGTAAGTCTCCGCCCCCAACCCCTTTCTAATTGTATTGGAGCTGGGGGCTAGGCAGAAGACCCAAATCCTGGTGCTGAAGGACATGTTAATGATAATTTCCTAGGAAAACTTTATTTCTCAAATGAGGCAACTGAGGCCCCAGCAAGTAAGGGGCACTGTATTCAGATGTGCATAGTCACTGGGCCTCTTATCTGCAGACATTTGTCCCCATCACCCCCAAGTCACAGGTCAGCTTCCCAGAGTATGGAAATGGGGACTGCAGCGAGACCAGAACCTTGTCATTGCAATGTCCTATGTTTTTCACATAACAGGGACATTCGTAAATTTCAAACTACTTCTGTATTTTGTGTTTGATTCAATGATCCCAGCATTTCCCCAGGTAGGCATGAATAAAATGACCATCCCATCTAAAGTCACGATTTGTGGGAGGGGAGGCACATCACAACAGCACAGCCACGTCACCAATGTCTTTAATAAACATCATAAAAGACTATCAAATATTTAACAGTCAAATGTAGCACAGCCTCAGACACTATGGTCCTGAGATCCCTTGACAGGTTTTAGAGAATAAAGTAAATTAATCATAGAGATTCACTCGTGAAGATTTTATTTAAGCCATAGATCCAGACTTTGTTAATTGCTGTTCTGATTAATCTGGCAAGAAGAATGAATGCCTCAGGTTGGAGATTAGAAGGCTGGTGGGGGGGGGGCGGCTCTGACTGTGGAATGAGGGGAGAGGTCTTGGCGAGGAGAGGGGGCGAGGAGAGCTGGGGAACAAGTTGAGCAGATGGGGGGGGGGAGAGAGATGAGGGCTTCCAAAGGCACCCATCTGGCTGCCATAACATTTGTTTAATCTTCATCCTAAAGTCTTTATTTTTTTTAAACCCCAAACTGATTTAGAAAAGATCTTACCTTTGTCCTCTTTCCCCAGCTAAAGCTGCTTGTAAAAGAGTCGCATGCAAACATTGACACTGTTCACAGGTCAGAGTTCCAGCGCCCCATGCTTGTCCGCACATTCATTATGCACTCAGAGGATTTATTTTTTTTTATTTTTTAATTGCAATTAAAATACAAAGGCAACATTGCCCTCCCAGCACAACTCCCAACCTTTTTCAACCAGGGACCCTCCTACCATAGGCTGTAAAAATGTTAAGTGATTGGCTTACCTCGGGCTCTTCGCTAAGAAGAAAATTATTTCATATAGTTTTTAAACCCAGCCACGCCCACCCCCTTAAAATCAACCCCGTGTGTTTATAATGTGGCCTTGCCAACAGGGCTAAAGTGTCCCCCCCTTCCTCCTCCCTCTTCCCTCTCCCAAGGTGGGCCCAGTGTGTGTGTGTGTGTGTGTGTGTGTGTGTGTGTGTGTGTGTGTGTGTGTGTGTGCAGAATACAAAATACAGACGATGTACACAACCCCAAAGCCCCAGATACCTGAGTGTCTGGTTTTTCAACCGTTAAGGCGGGAGGGTTTGACGTACGAATTGAGAAGTGAGGAAACGCTTAGCGCAAAGGAAAAAAAAAAGAGAGAAAAACATACAGGGGGGAAAAGGTTATGGAGGCCCGCGGCTCCGGCCCCCCCCCCCCCCCCCCCCCCCCGGCCTGCGGCCCGGCATATTACCCAGGATGCCCAGCCACCTTTGCTGCGTGTTTTCTCTCTGCTCGCTGCTGAGAGTCCGCACAGAGGTTCCACAGAGTGTGTCAACACGGAAAGTTTTGCTCGCGCCGTGGCGCAAATCACAAGACAGCCCATTTTTGAGTACAAATACACAATCGGCGGGTACATTGAAGGTGCTATGGATGAAAACTGGGACACACTGAGCATGTCATGCACAGGCGAACACAGAAAATGGACACCAACACACACCAACAACAAGCTGTCTGAGTCGAAGCAGCCAGGCGAGGCGGGGGCGCGCACCCGGATGGCCCTAGCCCACCGCGGTCACGAACATCAAACCGGGGGAGCCCCGAAGGGCCCACCCCAGCAGTTCCTGGCTCACCTCACGCCCCCGCCTGTCCAGCCTAGGATCGCTGGCGCCGGCGCTGGCCTCCGGCCGGTAACGACCCTCAGCGTGGCTCGGCACCACTTTTCTCCCTAAAGGGCATATACTTTGCCACCCGAACCCTCGCAAAATCCCCTCTCCCACCCCCAGGGCAGAGTTGGGGTCCCTCCCTGGAACTTCTAACAGGGTTTCCGGACCCCTCCTCCCTTGGTCAAGGCCCAAGCCCCACCGGAAGGCCCTGCCACCCCCTCCCAGGGTGCCCGGGGCGGCCCTACAGCCCAGGGGCAGGAGCTGCCGCATTACCTAGAAGCAGCAGGCGGTGCGTACACATGTAGTCCATCTTCTCCTCCTCCAGTTGCTTGTCGATGAGCTTGCTGCGTTTCTTATCTGCGCGCTTCTGCTCTCGCATCTCAATGGCTTCTTTGCGCATCTGTTTGCGCCTCTCCTCGAAAGGATCCTTTGCCTTCCTCGGGCTGAGGGAACGGGATCTCTCGGAGAGACCGAAGCAGCTTCCAAAGGTTCTGGCGAAGAAGTTGCGCACTGGGTTGCATCCGACCGAGTGGCTCCGGGGCTGGCCGGGGCGGCGGTTTCGTCGCAGAAGCCACTGGAAGCAGCCGTTGGCCCCTTCTTCCGACTCATCACTAGAGGAGTCGATCTCGCAGATGACGGACGACGCCTCCTCGTACCTGCAGCAGCTTCGGCCACGCTCGTACTTGTCTGGCCAGGCGGGCTGCCTCGGAGCAGGCCTCGGAGTAGGCGGATCAGCCACCTGGATCTCGGGGCTGGGGGGTCTAAGATGGGCCCTGCTTGGGGCGGTAGGGATTCTGCCAATAGCCATTGCTCGGGCGGTAGAGATTGAGTGGCCGGCAGCGACTGCCCGGGCAGCAGAGGCTGCCCGGGCGGCGGCAGCTGCGCGGGCAGGAAGGCATGCCTGGGCGGCGGGAGTAACGGAGAGTGACCTGGCTCCCCAGACCAGAGGACCTGCATAGGCTGCCCTAGCGGCAGTTGCCCTAGCGGAGGCTGACATTGCTGGGGCACCAGGGACTGCCCCGGCAGCTGGATGGGCTCTAGCAGTGGGGATTGGCCGGGGAGCGGGCTCCGGAGGGGTGATAGGGGCTGCCCGGGCGGCAGGCTCCGCCGGGGTGGCAGAGACTGCCGCTGCTGCGGGCTCCACCTGGGCGGCAGGGGCTGCCCCGGAGGCAGACTCGGCCTTGGTGGCAGGGACTGCCTCGGAGGCTGGCTCGGCTGCTGGAACTCCGCTGGCTGCTGGAACTCCGCTGGCTGCTGGAACTCCGCCGTCGTCTTCAGGCTCGGCAGGGCTGGCTGGGGCGACCGGGGCTGCCCCTCCGTCAGGCTCAGCTCGGACAGCAGGGGCTGCTCCGACTTCTTGTTCAGAATCGGTCTGGAGATCCGTGGGTGTTGCTGGGGCCGGAGGAGATCCGCTGGCGGCGGCGGCGGCGGCGGCGGCGTCAGGTTCAGGTTCGGTAGCGACGGCTTGGGCAGCAGGGGCTGGCTTGGCATCCATGGCTTCTGGCTCGGCGAAGGATCCGTCTCTTCTCTCGGGAGAAGGGACTTTTCCTTCCTCCGCAGCTGCGGTGGTAGGGCTTCCTTCCATCTCGGCTGCTTCTCGCTCAACTGGGGGTCTCTCTGCGCACTCGCTCTTATCTGGGGCTCCGGAGACTTCGATGGGCGGGCCATCACTTGCGATTGGGGGGCCGTCCATATTGACAGTGGTGTCGTCGTCGACCCTAGTGGAGGCTCTGCCAATCTCAAGCTGGGGTCTGGAGATCTCCATTGGGGGGTTGTCGCATGCGAAGTTAGGAGGAGATCTGATAGCCTCGCTGAATGGTCTGTCAATGGCGCTGTGGACCCAGAGGGGAGGCGCGTTCTCGGCGGGAGCGAGGCTGAGCGCACTCGGGACCGCGGCTGCCGGGAACTCGCCGCCAATGCCGATTTGTGGGATGACTCGGGGGAGTCCTGGGGGTGGGCTATCGCCCCCCAATTCTTCTCTCTCAAGCCCAAATGGCACAGATTCTTCCGGTGGAGGACTGTAGTCGTCTCGGAAGCCAGCGTTTGCAAATCTGAGGTTCCCGGGCTCCGCGGGAAGAGCTTTGACGACTCCTGCCTCCGGACCTCCTGGAGCAAGGTCTGGGACTTGCAAGCGCAACTGGCGACGATCTTCCTGGGCAGGTTCGTTGAACTCAAATGGCATGGTTTCTTCTGGTGGGGGGCTGTAGGTTCCCAGGCCTGGGTTCTCACCACTGGGGGTCCTGGGCTCCAAAAGCGCTGGATTAAAGGCTTTGATGCCTGTTTGGGTCCCAGATGTTCCAAGCTGCTCCAAGGTGGGCCAGAAATCTCCGAGGCTGGACTGTTTGGTCTCAAATGGCATGGCTTCCTCTGGAGGTGGGCTGTAGTCTCCACCCACTCGGACCTCCTCGATGCCCTGGTTGAGGCCCTGGGACTCAGATTTGGAGACTTCAGGGGTTCCAAAGACCTCAGTGCAAGTCTCGTCGGCGACGGGCTCATTGTCAGACGGTTCGGTCTCCATTTCTTCGGCTGGGCCAGGCCCAGCACCGGGGGCAGCTGCCCCTGCGGCCTCCAAAGGTTCTTGCTCGGGCTGCTCGCCGACTTCAGCGGGGATATTGTGTTGTCCTGGCATATTGTTGCCGTGGAGGCAGTTGCGCATGCCCATAACACTTTGGCGGTTTTTCAAAATAAATTTGGGGCCCCGTAAGACGGAGCACCCAGCCAAACTAGGGTGAAAAAAAATTTTTTTTTAAAAAAATTCAAGAATTAGCTGGAAAATTCTCCAGCCTCAGTTTCCAACTTTTGTAAAGACAGGTTTTTAGGGTCTAAAACCCAAAACCATGGCTGAAGTCACTTATTTCTTGCTGGGAGAGCCTGGAGACTTCCTAGTCAACTTTATCCCTTCAGACTGCGGTCAGCCAGCCACGTGCAGGCCTTTTCTCTTCTTTCTTCTTACTTTGTAAACTTTAGCCCCGCCCTCTTGGCATGCCAGAGCGTGCCGATTCGTCTCGAAAATCGTTAGCAAAACTCTTTCTTTGCCGCCAGAGGACGCCGGTCTCAGTGTAGAGTCGGCTCCGGGAGGCTGACTCCCGGTGCCAGCAGTTCCCGACTTTGGGTAAGGGGGCTGAAGAACGCAGGCCTCACAGGGACGTTCGACTCCTTCCTCTTCTCTCCCGGACTGATTCTGAGGCTCTCTTCCCCGCTTTTCCTCTGGCCAGAGAGAGAGCACGCTCTCCTGCGTTGCTGGGACACGTGACGTAAGACGTGGGCATTGGTCTGTCAGAGCACAGGCGCTGAATCCCTCCCTCCCCATCCGGTTCTTCTCGAGGGGAGGAGGGACTGCAGGAGGGCGTTATCACCCAAGATTACCCCAGTATGCGGCAAACCCCTTATCCAGAGACCCCAGACTCAGGCAATTACGCATACTCAGCTCCCAGTCGGGAAAATGAGAGTTTAAAATAAATGTGAAGGGATAGAGGCACGCGCATAAAAAATGCGACAGGTGGGCGTGAGCCCACCGGACGGGCAGAGAAGGGACAAAGGGTGAGGGGCTGCCAAATGCGAACACGCAATTTGTTTTTTTAAAAATGCTCCGGAGTCGTTTTATTTTAATTCATTTTATTTTTTATGTTTTTGTTTGCTGTTAGTGAAAGATAGCTCCGGTAAATCCCTTCAATATCCCCCCTTCCCCGTTGTACTTCGGGAGGGTCTTTGTAGTGATGTAGTTTGATGCATGCAGTCAGGGCTCGCTTTGTTTATGTGGATGGTGACGCAGTAGAAATAAGGATCTCGGCGGTGCACTGCGGAAAAAAATTAAGCGAAGACCCCTACGCAGTCCCCGTGGTTGCCGCGGCCGTTACCGTGCAGATAGGCGAGGGGGTACGGTGCTTACCGGAAGACCCCTATATAACGCAGGCCTCCGACTTCTGCTTTCTGGGGAAGGGTTAAAGGCGATTTCGGATGTGGTTGATAGTCGATTTAGAGGGGTCTTAAAGACTAGACAAACTGATATGCACTAACCCATAGACGAATCGTGCCGCGGCACTAAGAGTGACTGAGACCCACAGCTTCCAGCCTCCGGGGCCTGCCGCCGATTCGGTATTCAGTTCATTTAAACCCCCCCCTCCCCTTCATCCCCTTGTCAGCCCCTGCCGGTCCCTCTCTTTCTGGTATGAGCACCGTGGAAAGATGCAGTTCTTTGAACTGCAACAGTACACACAGACTGCATTAAGCGCGGCCACAAAGTCCACGGCTGCGCGCCCCTTACGATGCCGCGGTGGGCTCAGAGCCGCGAAAAGTAAACAGCCACGTTGCCCAGTGGGCTCAGTGAATGAAATACAAAAAGCTGTAGGGCTGGGGTCTACAGGGGAATTCAAAGCAGGGGCTGACTTTTTATTTTTATTTTTTGTCGCTCTCAGACCAGAATCTATAAAGCGGCACGCGCACCAGTCGGCGATGGCGCAAGGCATTGTCTTTTCCTGCAGTGCAGCCAGGCAGTGGGTAGGTGGTAGTCTGACCTATGGGACCCTGGGGTAGGAGAAAGACTGTGGAGTCCTACACGGGTAGATTGCGGTAGTTATGCACCAAGTAGATGGCTGTACTCCAAGACACATGCGCGTGCACCGCGGCAAGCTCTAACTCTTCTAACGTGTCCCCTCTTCTCACTGCAGGCTCAGAACACTTCTGTGCCCTACCTACAGCATCCACGTGGTCGCCCGAGTAAAGAAAAGCAGACAATGTGGATCCCTAGTGGATCCCCGGGACCTCCCGAAGGCTCGTACCCTCAGCTCTACGGTTCGACACGGTTCGACACACTCCTTGCCGAATACTTTGAACTTTGGTCCAAAGTTTCGATCAACTACTCCCACGCAAAATGGCGAAACAATTTGAACACACTCTGAATGGTCCAACTGGATCTCAACCACCAACCCACTCCCCTCCGACCCCAGCGTCAGGTCAGCTATTGGGCTGGGGTCACGCCAATCAAGGATGCCTGGCGAATGAGCGGGGGGCTTCAGACCGGAAACCGGATATGAGTGGGAGGTCCAATAGGGGGCGCCGCGTTGGAACGCCCAAAGAGGTTGTGCTTGCTGGGTTGGTTGCAAGCGGTTGGCGGGCGGGCGTATGGCGACCAGGCCCAGAAGGCCACAGGCGCCGTGGATGCCTTAAGGGTCAATCTTTTTGATGCCCTTAATCGCCAAGGCCAAGTGGGAAGGTCGGGGTCTCCCATGATCCACCCCTTGGGGTCATGATGGCGGTTGGCTAACCCTCTTTACAGAGATGGCTACCGCTGAGGCACCGTGAAGAAGCATTTCCAGGGCCTGGAGATGGTGATCCAGGCCCCTGGAGAGAGAGAGACGAGCAGGACAGAATGGACAGAGGTCATTTTCCAGGGATGCTGAACCCTGCACAAGGTGGAAGGTCAGTAGACGCTGAGGTTTGAGACCCAAGGAAACCGCCACGCGGCTTTCTTGGGCTCCCCAGGCCTCTCACACCCGCCCCGAAAGCACATTCATCAAAAAAAAAAAAAAAAAAGATTCAGATTCTCTTTGTTCAGACATTCTCATGGTCTGTGGGGATCTTTTGTTCCATGCTTTTTCTCATATCATGCTCTTCTGACTGGGAGAAAGATCCAGATCATGCGAGTCTCCTTGCAAAGGAGCAGAACGGCATGAAAATGAAAAGAGAAGGCCTCCAATCGGAGGGTTTGCAAAGACCGAACGGATGGAGAAAATGGCGCCTCGAATGGTTCTCCATAGAAAGATGTCTTGACTATGAAAGAAGGGGCGGGGCAGGGTGGGCACACCTTCACCTATCTGGAACAAAGAATCCAACAAAAGGAGAGTGGGGCCTTGTTGCGTAAACGATCGAACACCTTTACTCCTGTAAAAGCGGTGGGAAAGACGGGGTGGGTTTTTTTTTTTGTTTTTTTTTGTTTTGTTTTTTTTTAAAAAAAGCAACTGGATGGGCGTTCTGAGGCATCCATGGAGCATCCGGGCTATTTTGGCAGGAAATGAAGAGGAGGAAATGGATTAGATGGTAAAAGGTGTGTTTTCTCCCCCTTTGTGGATGAGGATTTGAGTCAAATTTTAGAAAAGGCAGAACCAACATGGAGGTTGGCTCCGATGAAGGGAACAAAGGAAAGGGGGTGTGTACCAAGAAGGCTGCAGCTGCGGAAGTCCTTTAAGGAGGGACCCAGCCACAGTGACAAAAGGGAACCAAGAGGGTTTCCTGATGCCCCCTGAAAGCTCCTGTGTTAAATGGGTCATAAAGGACAGAAGAACCAAAGACTAGTCCCTGGATGCTGGGAACTGCAGAGGGAAGCCAGGGAGGGGCTGGTGTGGAGGCAGGAAGGAGACTTGTTTGATTTCAGACATGGCAGATGTGAAAGGAAGATGGACGCCTTGGGCGGATCTTTACAACCTGTTTCTGGGAAGGAAAGGTCTAACGTTTAGGAAAAGGGTAGAAAGCATACATTCAAATTGGCAATCAACCTTACTTGGATTTGAGATCACTGAATTAGATAAAAATTCTAATAGTCAGAATAAAAGGGATCTATTTGATGTGAGAGAACAGGGCAGGCTCCAGAGGACAAAAGTGGGGGCCGCTCCCTCTGCACCCTGGCTTCTCAACCTCTGTACTAGTGACTTAGGTTGGGGTAATTCTTTGCTATGGTGACTGTCTTGTGTGTGGCAGGATATTATATTGCTTCCTTAGTCTATACCTCCTAGATGCCATTAGCATCTCCTTAGTAGCCATAGTAAAAATGTCCTCATATTTTGTCCAAATAGCTTCTGGGGTGCAAAATCACTCCTGGTTGAAAAAACTGAGAAAGAATATTTTACTTGACTAGAACTCATTTTAATTTAAAGATAAATCCATACTAGGAAAAGTAGAGCTCAGCACTTAATCCTGATTCCCCCTCTCATTTTCTTCTAGTTACTGAGCAAGTGAGCTGAATGAGAGGGGCTAAGTGCTGAGGCTGTTGTATGCCAGCAGCATGGCTCAGGAGGGCCCTGCAGACAGGCCAGGTGCTGGAGCAGCTGAGCAGCACAGGAGAGCACTGGACGGCCTGGCCCAAGGATGGGGAGCCCAGAATGGTAAGAGCCGGAGGTGACTAGCGTGCAGAGTGACTGGGGTCACCTTGTTGGGTTGGGCAGAGTAGTGAGCCTGTGGAGGCTGCTGAATTTGCTGAGTTAATACAGAAGTGTCTGTGTGACGAGTTGGGAAGAATCAATGTTGGGTGTTGGGAGGAGGGGAGCACCTGAGCTGGGCCTTACCCTACTAGAAATGAGGTTTTTAATGGTCTCCCCCATTATAACTATACACTAGCAAAGGATCTTTTTTTCTCCCCATTTATTTGTGTGTTACACACGTGTGTGTGCGTGTGCCCATGTGGGGGTTAGAAGATAACTTGCAGGGGCTGGTTCCCTCCACACTGTGGGTGCCGTGAATCAAGCACCTTTGCTTACCCATCTCACCAGCTCCCTAACAAAGGATGTTAAATATCTTTCCCTTTCCAGTTGACTTTGTTATAGACAAGGGAGGAGGAAGCTATTCAGAGGTGTGAGTGAGAACAAGGAGAGCAGGTTGGCGCCAGTCGTGAAGCAAGGGAGGAGGAAGTCAAGACAAGCGAGTGCCCAGACAGGGCTGAATAGGTGTGAGGAACCAGAGCTAAGCTGGGGGGGGGGGGGTCTTGACCTCATCCACATGCGGAACGTGCTAGAGTGGAAGGCTATGGGGAGATGGTTTATCAGCCGGAGAACAGGATTTGCTGTATTAGAAAAGCGTGAACGTATTACTCATGCTTCCATTAGACTCTGCTTTTCTGAGGAAAGGCAACTTGTTCAGTGCAGCCAACCCACATGCCCAAGTGAGAAATCAGATGTCCTTTTGAAAGTAAGGGCAACTGAAACTCCCTCAGCCTCACTAACCTGAAACCTTGTGGTCCCTCTTTCCTGTGATACCCAGGCTTTCAAAATGTAAGACTTGTGGTGTTTGTTTATGGCCAGCAATTGTGTTTCTATGTACATTTTAGGATTTTTTTTTCCTGCCTAAAGCCCAAGGCCCATCCAGATATCCTGACTCTGGATTCTTCCCTTAGCCAAGTAGAGAAGGCCCCTTGGAAGGCAGAGAGGTAGAGTGAGCAAGAGGAAAGGGGGCAGCAGCAGGAAAAGCAAGCTCATTGGCACTGAGGCTCCTTTTGGTTTGTGACTTTGGGGAAGGGGCAGCCTTCTCTGCACAACAGCTCTTGTTTGTACCATTGGTTTTCAGGTAACTGACACAGGAAAAGAGAAAATTAAAAAAAAGAATTCAGGTAACCACTAAGTTTCTAAGCTTCCCAGTGACAAAGGTTTTCTGAATGCTTGCCTTTAAGACTTGGAAGCTGTTCAATCAATTACTGTTCAATTAAGACTGCTGCAGCCCCCCTTTCCCTTCTAGAACCTCTGCCAGTGTTGGCCGGTGGAGGCAGCAGCAGCTTACTGCTCTCTGCAGAAGGGGCTGCAGAAGGGGCTGTGTGGCTAGCTTTTGAGGCAAATGCTAATTAAAGGAAAGATGCCTCTATCAGATAGGGCAAGATACTGGACTCGGGACTGATGTGGGGCGGGTATTAGGGGGATGAGATGGTGTTTATGAATCCAGCCCATCAGCTCTGGATGAAATAAAGCTCAGGGGTTCAACCGCAGCTGCCTTCTTTGTAGCAGGGCCACCAAATCGTGCCTCAACCTGTCGTGCCTCTGCTACTTGCAGCCACCCACACAAGGTGTCCACACAGTGCTACGGTTTCTTTGTGCAGGACAGCTAAGGATGCTGCGGAGGCTATTGAGGGAGGGGTACCTATTCCAAATGAGAGGCAGCACCAGGGCAAGGCTGCTAGTGGGGGTGGGGTGGGAGGTGGGATCCTGCATCCTGGAAGGCCGGTTTAGTGGAAAGGCTATTTAAGATTTCTGTAACTCCTGGTGGAAATTCCAGGCACCCCGAGGGCTTCTGGGGCCTAAATGCTATTTGAATTTAAGGGGAATGGTGTATTTCACCTTCTCACACAACCTCAATTACCCAAAGCAAATTTTCCTAACGAAGTCTAATTGGAGCAACAACATAAGCCAGGACACTCAGACAGCTCTTGCCTTGGGGGAAGGGGAAACCTGCCAGCTTCTGCTGCCCAACAGTCTTTGGGTCTCACTCACAAGTCTGAGAGTGGAAGCCTCAGAGGCTGTCCTTCCTAGAGTCAAAACCCAATGCTCAGGTTTTAAATTGTTAAATAAGATTACTGACTTTTAAGTCTTTTTGGTTGATGAATTTGAGATATTTGTTTGAAAACTCCGTTCTGTAGATAAATTAAGTTGAAATTCTCGTGCTAGTTGAAAATTCTGTGGGACTATCAGGAGACAGTGATTTCAGGATGGCCATCTGAAGTCCTCATTAGTGGCCATCTTTGGCTATTAGAGGTGACACCTGCTCCTTGTTGCACCTGGTTTTAACTCCTTCGGTTGCCAGAAACTTGCAGCCAGCCATTATCTGATTGTATCTTCAGCCTTTTTCTTCCTAATCCCTTCAGAATACTTTTGCATAGTCATAAATGTACTGTTTTGTCACCTCCCTCCTAGTCTGGCTCCTTCCTGCTTCTTTACTCCCTGTAATCTCACTACCCTTTTTGGGTTTTTTTTTTTTTTTTGTCTTTCTCAAATTTGCCCCAAATTACTGCCTCCAGCCATCCCTTGTTCTTGAGTTATCCCTGGAGCAGCCACATCCCCTTGCCAATGTTTAATGTTCTTACCCTAAAATATACCCATAGTAAAAAAAACAGGTTCTGCCTATACTTGAAGCAGTGTAGGCAGCTTCCTTGCTCCACTGTAGAGGTGTCAAGTCGCCACCCCCGTAGGGAGTCCTGCCTCTGCTGGCTGAGTACCATGTGGCTCTCTCTACAAGCCAGACTCTTGGATTTAGAAATCCAAGTCTCTAGGTTGTCTGTGTACTCTGGCTTGCCGGCTACATGAACTATCCTGCCTCCTGATTTTGGTGGGGCCACCCTATCAAATAGATTTTGAGAAAAATACTCGTAAAATTGGACCCTTCCCCTTTGTTTGTGTGTGTGTGTGTGTGTCTGTGTCTGTGTGTGTGTGTGGCTGAAAAGGAACTAAAACATAAAATAAATTGTAACAGTAAGCCAGTCACTTAATTTGTAGAAGCCATTTTGGGGAGAAGTGTTTGCTTTGTTTGCCCCAGGCAATAGAGCCAAATTTGGCATGTGTCTGTGCATGCATTTTTGTTTATGTGTCTATTATTTTTCTGCATGTTTTGTATGTGTGGTGTGTGTGTGTGAACTTAGCTATTACCAGACTTTGCAATACATAAAAAATGACGTAGTACTAAAATTTTATGGAGAGAGGGACCACTAAAGAAAAGCGGGGGGGGGGTGGGGGGAGGAGGAGTGAAAGGCATGCTCGCCCACCTCAGCTAGACAGAGCCTCTAAGCTGTCGTTATCTAAACTGCAGTTGTCAATCGGCTGTCCCGGTGCTTTACAGCCGGCCGTCCCCTGCGGGGAATGCATTGTAGACACTAATCTCCAGGGGAGAATGCAGGGAGTGGACTCTCAAGAATGCCTCCACCCACACAGGACGTAGTGAATCCTGCATCCGCCTCCTGTCCTCTTAATTCATTTTTGCCACGAGCTGAGAAGCATGTTTGATAAAACTAATATTAGACCAACACAAGTCAGACTTCTTCACAGCTGTTGCTTTTTAGTTAACTAAATTTGGGAGGGGGCAGTAGGGAGGATTAAAGCCAGTAAATAGGGTGGGATAGAGGCAGTCTGGGCTATCCCAGTATCTTTTGCCTTTGTCTGTGATTCTGCTGCCCTGTCTGGGTTTTGGGATACATCCCTCACTGTGGGTGAGATTAGAAGTGTAACTTGAGTACGTTTCTGGGCATTATTTTAGAGGGGAGCAATATTTGAGTTGACATATGACGTCACTGGTCTCTGGCTCTGCTGGATTAGATTTTCATGATTTGTGTTTGTGATAGGTTGCCACCCTGTATGCCCCATGATCAGTGACAACAGGGAGAAATTAAGTAAAATCCATACATTTAAAAAAAAAAACTTTATTCTTACCAGTACTGCTGTTTCAAATTTCTTGTTAACCGAACACAACTGCTGCAATGAAGGCTAAAGGAGCAAAGGTGGCAAACAGTTCCAGAAGAGAAGCTTTAGCTGCAGATGCATGAAAGCAAAGCCAAACAAAAAAACCTTCGAGCCTGTTCCAGAGTTCACATCCCTATCTCAGTTTCGAATGCTCATAAATATAAGTCTTATTGTTAAACTAAAAAAATACTTACATCTAGGTTTTTGTCATCACATAATATTTGAACGCGCCACATAAAAGAAAGGTACTTAAATTCAATGATTAGAGCATTCTTCCTCTATAGAAGCAAAGTTTTTCCATTAAGCAAACGATTAATGCAGTGAAGAACCCTAAATATTATGGCACAGAATTTTAACTAGCTTTGCTGCCGCCCCCACCCCCCATGGCTGGGATCTACATGGTCGGGATCGGGTTTTCCCAGGGTTAGTCTCCCTCAGCTACTCTACCTCTGTTAAAGGAAAAGCCAGTCCATTCAAATGCTAACCCCGGCTTAACCTCGTAAGACAAAGGGCCAGTTAGGAAGCTAGGGAGCTGGGAATGTTTGAGAACCTGCTAGAAAAGCCCCTGGAAAAGGAAAGAAAGTAGCTGAACTCCACTGACTGGAATCTCTATTTCACAGAAAGTAGACTTGAAATGTGTGTTTAGCAAAACCTTTCCTTGTGTGGGTGGTGGGTAGGTGCTTTCCCAAGTGTGCTATACTCCTATATGCCCCCTGGGCTTTTTCTCATGAAGTCAGAGTAGCGCTAGGAAGGGGGAGGGCTGTGCTGCTGGGTAGCAGGCTGGGGTGCAAATGCATCTGCTGTGACAGGTAGTGCTTGAAGATTATTGAGACACAGCAAAATGCGCCTTCCTGTTTGGGTGCCCCGTGTGTGAGCCTGGCATACTGCTCAGCTAGGCTTCATTGTTGCTATTGTTTTTTTTTTTTTCTATTTTGTTTTGTTTGTTTTGTTTTTGAGACAGGGTTTCTCTGTTTAACAGCCCTGGCTGTCCTGGAACTGGAGACCAGGCTGGTCTTGAAGGCAGAGTTTCATTCGCCTCACAAACCCCTCCCCCTCCTAGTGCTGGGATTCAAGGCATGCGCCACCAAGCCTGATTCTGGGCTTCTTTTTAAAGGAACAACGTAGGTGAGGTGGGGGCTATAAGGACTGAAGACCCTTTTAAAATTTTATTCATCCAGCAACAAGGCAGCATTCTAATTTAGCTAATAAAGAGCCAACTCTGACGGAAACACTTCTTCCCGTTGGAGAAGACACGCTGAAAAGCGTGGCATCTCCACCTGTTAACTAGAAACCTGTTGCTTGGTAAACTCGAGCTACCAATACATCCCCAGATAAAATGGCACCTAACGTCAAGAAAACGTCACCATCATCGAATTATCCTGTCGAGAATTTTAACTTCAGAAAGATGAATTTCACGCTTTCAACCCAAAAGCCCCCACTTCCTTTTCGCAGCCTCCCCGCGCGTCCTTTCCCCACTGCTAACAAACCAATTCCCTACATAGATAAAGACGCGATTAGCCGCAGTGCGCACAGCCCACCCCCACTTAAGTTCTGGGGACTGCGACGCCATCCCAAGCAAAGAGGGTAGGTCCTGGAAGGAGACTACGTAATGCATTCCTTCTAGCACTGCTCTCTTCGGAGCGCAGGAGCCCAGCCGCCTTTGATTTCAAGCCTTAAAAAGCATTCCTTAACCAGATTTTCCAAATCATCCCATCAAAGTAACTCAAGCCCCCGCATACCAGACGCTCGCACTTTGGGGGGAAAAATGTTTCCAAATGGGTGAAAATCAGTAGGTGCGTTTTACTTTTTATCAGCCTTTCCCGCGAAGGTTGGCGAGGAAAACATTCCTACGTGTGTTACGTGCTTACGGCAGTTTGGGAACTATCACTGACTATCACTGGCCATCTCCCCTCGGGTTACGGATTCCAAATACAGCTCCACCCGAGCTGAAGATGACCACCAGTATTGCTGTAGCGCATCATCCCTGTCTCCTCTTGGTTCTAAGCACAGAATCCGACATCTTGGGAAGTGGCACGATCTTTGGGGACGCCTTGGAAGGTGTCCAAGTGCTATCCACGACCCCCTTACTCAGCCTATGCCTTGATCCACTTTATCTTTCTGCCCAAGACCAGTTGATACCGCTCTCATTCCTTCTTCCCAGCCTCTAGGACCTAGGCGCACAGCGTCGGACCTCTCCAGACAAGTCTGATCCGCCCAACCAGCTGCACCAAAAGGTTAGCTATGTCCCGCTATGATCCTGTCCGTGCTGCAAACGCGGCTTGCCCAAAAGGGCACCCCTAAAGGCCCCTATACCTACACTGTGTTCCCTCCAAGCACCATTCACTAGTGAAAGACGCCTATCTGTGCCGGAAGGTTGGCTCTGGGGCGCACAGGAGAGGTGCGCGCGCTCCTTTTCACGATCTCTGGCCTCCGCAAACCTCCAGAAGTGAGCGGTGTTGGCCAAGACTGCTTGCACGGCGTGAGAGGCACTGGCTCCAGGGTCCCGCAGCTACGAAATTGGCCATTCCGGGACCCGATTTCCAGGCCCCGCGCCGGCTGAGCGCACGTGCGATTTTGATCTGGAGCCTGTAGGCTCCAGAGTTCTAATCCAATCCCAGCGCAGTTAGTTACTTTCCGCGCATTGCAACAATGTAGCTATGGCGCAGCAGCTCTCAGATCGCCCAAGTTGGCGCGCGCCCCTCCATAGATCCCAGTGGGCTCTAGCCCAAGCCAACTCCAGTGCTGCAGGTTAACCTTTCTAGGAGGGAGGAAAAAAAATCGTAGCAAACAAGTGACTTACCTTTGCCGTTTAGGTATGCGTTTCCAAACTTGGGGCACTCTCAGAATTCAGTGTTGCACACCGGGTTCCAGCTCGGGGACCTCAGGTTGTCTCCAGCGAGGCATCAGGAAAGCCTCGCCGTCCAACAAACCTTTGGCCTCCCAAGCGCCCCTGGGTGCCCTGAAAAAAAATTGAGGAGCCCTCTCTTCTTTCCCAGGGTGCGGTCTAGGCTGATTAGTGGACACCGCTCCCTTCCCACCTTGCTCCCCACCTGTCCCCTTTCTCCCCACTGCACTGTCTCAGGGTCCCCAGTTTGGTCAGGTCAACTAACCTTTATCCATGAAAACAAGGAGAATCTGGACGGAGTCACCCATTAGTGACGCCGGATGGGGATGGGCCCCTTTCTGGGAGGGGACTCCGGGGACTGGTCGCGGCGGCGGGCGGGCTTCCTGGTCTTGCAGCGGCGGGGCTGCCTGGCCTCCTCCTCCTTGCGTTCCTCTGACTCCTCGGGGTCCCGAGGATCCTCGTCTAAGGGCTCGCGCTGGGGCTCCTCCCCCTCGCTTGCGCTCTCGGGCTCCTGAGTGGTGGGCTGCGTACGACTCTGGGAGGCGTCGGCGCTCTGCAACTTCAGAGCTTGCAGACGCTGTGTGAGAGACTGGTTGAAGGTGGCACCTCTGGGGCCGCGTTCGTCCTCGGGCTCGGTCTCAGGCTCAGTTGTAGGGGCGGTATCAGATTCGCTCTCTAATTCGGACTCGGACTCGATATCAGACTCGGACTCGGTCTCCGACTCGGTCTCCGACTCGGTCTCGGTCTCGGTCTCGGTCTCGGTCTCGGTCTCGGACTCGGTCTCGGACTCGGTCTCGGACTCGGTCTCCGAATCGGTCTCGTAGTCAATGTCTGGGTACTCCAGGCACTCGGGGCGGGCTAGCTCAGGTGCTGGCTCCTCGTGCTCGTGGTCAGACTCGGATTCGGGGGACTCGGGGAGTACCTGCGCAGCAGCGGCGGCAGCGGCGGAGCGGTGGTGGGCGTTAAGGAAGCTCCGACGCTGGGCAGCACGCTGCTGGGCACGGGCGTTGGAAGAAGCTAGGGCGCGGAGGAGAGCGATGGAGCAGGAGAGCCAGAGGAGAGCGGTGGCTGCCCGGCGGCCGATGGGCGGGCAGAGGTCGTTGTAATTATGGCGAGCTCGGCGCCACTGCTGAGCCCGGGACCTGCGATCCATTCTCCTAGGTGCTCAATGGGAAGCCGACTCACCCTCTGGCTCTGCAGAGAGTGGCCCCACTGCGCAAGAACAGCTGGAGCCGAAAAGGATGAACCTTATGAGGTGAGAAGCTGGGTCCGGAGACCCCAGTCTCACCTCGGGGAGAAAAGAAGAGATGCACTTACCTTCCCGACCACTACGAACTTTCTGCAGCTCCGCGCCTCAGCTTGCGTCTGTAAGTAAAAGAAAGGGATAGGTAAAGGACAGAGAAGGATTGTCTCCTCCGGGCTCCTCTCGCTAAGTCTCAGACTCTTAAGTCTAAGACTCCGAGAGGTGCCTCCACTGGTCCTCTCATCTGGGAGAGGATAGAGGAGACTGAGGCGAGATGGGGCAGTGTGGCCCTATAAAGTTGCGCGGACTTCTGCCGGGCATGTGCAGTAGAGAGGTGGGGGTGCCTCCCCGCTAGCTGCGCGGTGGCGCATAGCCTGTGGCGCAGACCCTAGTGGGCCGGCAGGTGGCAGGCGGGAACCTTGTTTGAGAGAATTTGGCCAGAGCATCGACGTTTGGGTGGGGGGGGCGGATGCTAGCCAGTTCTAATGAGCGAAGCGAGCAAGATAGCCACAGGTTAGCAGTCTCGAAGCTGAGTGTGGATTTCTTGCGGGATTTATCCCACTCCTCAACTTCTCCTTGCACAGCGGAAAACCAGGACGCAAAATTGCGAACATTCTCTAGAATGAGGGTTCATACATGAGTTTTAATGACCCAACACCAGGTATTCTCCAAGGGCTTGATGGTTTGAGGGATCGGAACCTCAAGTAGCCATTAATCACGACAAAGGTGGCTCATTTTGTCGGGGCTGTTACAGTAACTGTAATTAGAACAGCTTCCAAAAAGTAGTCACCTTGTCGACAAACAAGCCGTCGCTCAAGAAAGGCCCCCCGCAGCTGTAGAGGTGGGAGTTTGCGGGGCGATGGCTAGCTGATGGTGAACTCTGCTTCACTGAGGTGTGCTGGAAGACCGTAGGAAGCCGAGAGCGACCAGGAGAAGGCCCTATAGCCGTTACTCTTGGGCGGATTTTTAGGGTAGTTACTGAGCGCAAACTGATAGATTTCAGCTGAAGAGGGTTCAACCACCACCACACTTGAGTTCCGGCACAGGCGGAGCTCTGTTCTAGGTGCTGAATATAGCGGCGAACCCCAGCGGGTCTTGGATTAGAGGAAGGGTGTTGAGGGGGTTAATGTACCTTAAGCAGAGCTTCAACTCACTCTTTCAACATCGTTACTTCATCCAGCTCAGATCTTACATGAGAAAAGCAGGTGCATGAAACAGAACATCATGGCTAGGGGGCGGCCAGAGACCACTAGATCGTGGTACTGGGCTCCCGCAGGCTAAGGAATTGGAGGTCCTCAGCCCAGGAAAACCTGATGAATTAGGTAAGTCCCGGGAGGGGACGGATCACAGATTCCTGTGGTGGGAAGTGGGAAGTTTTCAGGTTCCACCTGCGTGTGACCACCGCTGGGGGTGGGAGGTTCATTTATTTTGCCTTGCTGTTTGCTAAATATGGAGGGTTTATTTTGGGGGGGGTGTTTTGTTTTGGCCACAGAGACAAACAGAGCTGTGTTCCTGGGATGCATAAAGTCCCAGGAGGGTTATTTTACATGGGACACATGTCACAGGTTGGGCTGTTTTGTTTTTGGTTTTGTTTTTGTTTTTCTTGAGTCCATGTGAAGAAATTCAAAGAAGAGGTTCTGCTGCCTCTCCAAACTCTGCTTCCCCAGGATTCCTTCCTGGAGGTGGAATTCTCAGTCATGTCCTAAACCAGTGCTGTCCATGGGTCACTTACCCTCATACCCTCAGCACCAGACTGATTAAAGCTTCCAGATGCTCTAATTAAGGGCTTAGTAAGAGCCCAGCCACTGGGGATGGGTTGAGGATTTTGTTTCTGTCCTTTGGCTGTGTCTGTAGTGCATCTTGTGGTCCAGGAGTTGATATGTTGTTAGCCCTGAAGTGCTAACTGCTTTGGTAGAGAGGGTTGGTTTAGCAAAGCTCGGAAACAGCGTGGGACTGTATTCCAGCTGTGACCTGCTGACTCTAGGGTACTGCTTGGGAGACCCTTGTTGGGGTTTTGAGACCTAGGATCCCCTTTCTTGCCTGGTGGGGAATGTCTGAGGGGTCTGACCACTTTCACATGCCTATCCCAGTTTTTCAATTAGCACAGCTCTGCCAGCAAGCGTATGGTGCACAGAGACGTTGGTCAAACTGATTTTAAGGCACATTGAGGGAGCACTCCGGGCTGTGTGGGTGCTGGTAAATGCCCTTTTGATGGAAACTGATGCCAGCTGTCAGCAGGGAGGTGGGTTATATGGGTTATGGTTCTTTAACGTATGGAGGAAAGTGCCTCATTTTTCAGATGGAGTGCTTTATGCCCGTAACAGAGATGCAGCCCAAAGCCAATTCACTAATACCAATACACTGAGATTGCCTGCATTATTAAAAAATATGTATTACATAATACATATTTTTGGACTAGGATTCTGCATTAGCAATGCTCTTTCTTTGCAAGATGCATTTTAATCAGTCAATGGACATTTAACAAAACACTGCATTTTCAAGCCCTGGTCTTAGGTATAGTTACAAATTCATTTCAGCATGTGCTCAGCACCGATTCCAGGAGAACAGGGGCTGCACTGAAGACAGTTCCATCTTGCACTTAGTGCTGAGGTCGAGCAAATGGATCTGCACAGAAAATGCTCTTTAAAATGACTTTAAAAAGTGCTTGCTGCAGAGTGAATTTCAAAAGGGACCAAGTAGGTGATGAAAGACCTTGGTTGTTATCAGGCTAAGAACAAGGGCTCTCTCTGTGTCTGCATGCTCTGCCAGAGGCAGACTCCTAAACCAGCTATACAAGAAAGCAGTTTCTAGTTCATTAGAGTATCATACAGTGGGGTTTTATTTGCATGTGTTGTGAAGGGGATTGTCCTGTGGAAGAGGCTTCAGAGTCCCTTTCCATAGCTCCAGAGGGTGGTGTTTATAGAAGCCTACAACCCAAGGAGGAATATTCTAGCAATCAGGGCTCTGAAGTGGAATGCACTCTGCAAAGGACAGATGACCACGTTCTGGAGATGTTTCCATGGTACTCGGCAGCAACCTTCTTTAGATGTTGTCCCTCCCAGGGGTGGGAGTGGGGTGGGGGAGTCTATAGGAGAGGGGTTGGGGCCTCAAACCTTCCATTTTGCTTCTGTTTCAGAAGACTTTGAAGATGCCTGCTGCTTGCTGACAGAAAGGAGTGTTTGAATGGCAGCTTTGAGACAATCCAGGTAAGCACAAATGACCCCAGCGGCCTGTCTTGGAGCTCCTGTACGCCAGCAGGCCTCTGAGGCTCTTTGCTCTACAACACTCCCTTTCTGGAGCAAAGACATTAGTCAGGTCCATCTATTAATTACATTGGCCTTCTTTGCCTCCCCTCCTGGAGCTGTCTCGGAAATTACAAATGAAATTGGCTATTTAGCAATCACAAATTGAGTCACTTCTATGACCAAGACACTATTCCTGGCATTGTGGGGAGATCGAAGTAAATGAGGATGAACAATTCCTGCCATCCAACAAAATGCAGATCAATATGAGATGTCCCCCAATATTCACAGACTACCAGTGGGCTCAGAGTAACAAATTCTACCCTGGTGAATGAACAGGGCAGGGAGGCTGAGAGCCAAACTTGGAACCATAGGTAGAGTTCTTCCAGTCCTGGGGCCAGGGCTGACTGTTGATCTCCATTTGTCTTTTAAGACCTAGTTCAACCAAGATTTTTTTTTCCCCCAAACTTATGAGATTGCTTCCATTCTACCTGTTCCCATGTGCAAAGCAATGTGCTTGTTGCTCTCGGTAACAGGTGAGTCATGTGAGTCTGGAAAGGCTCGCGGGCTGTTGTCAGAGATCCTGCAGGCACCGGCACATTCTCCAAGACGAGACTTAAGATGGAGTCTGGGTTCTGCTCTGCCTGGCAAGTGGGTCCTGTCTCTCTTGAGCATGTTTTGGACAGTCGCTGGAAAGGACTATTTTTGGAGATGGAGGGCTTTTCAGACTCTCCTTTGGAGAGAGATGAATTGAGGGACTTTGAAGTGCGCCCCACCTCTCTCTGTGGCTCAGCCCCACTGGGAATTTGGCACAGGGCCCCTCCCTCCTGTCCTCCAAGGGGACTAGACACAATGCGGGAACATTGGGTTCCTCTCTCCGGGCGCTGCTTTGCTGTTACTCCAGCTGCTCTGATCCCCACTGGCTCTCACCAAGAGAAATCATGAAAACTCCAAGCTCCTGCTCTTGTGATTTAAGGGGGAAAGGCCAGCTAGAGCCAAAAGGAAACAACAGGAGAAATAGCCTTCTATAGGGTTCTGTCCTGACCATTATAGAGCTCATCTGGACTGCTCTGTTGGGAAGAAGATGGGGTCAGAGCTGGACACATCAACCCTGAGGAGACTTAAAGTTGCCCCTTCTTACCTTCTGCTTTATGCAGATCAACACGCACACACACACACACACCCCACAGTTCCTTATGTCTTTCTCTCTTCCATGAAATCAGTGATTAACTCAGGAGCCAGAGAAGTGCCCAGTAGCTCCTCCCCTCACAGGAGCTGGATGTACAGGCCCTTCTGAAAAGGGAGCCTCCTTGTTTGGGTCTTATCCCTGGAGCTTTTGGACTTGCTTTCCACTGTAGATGTCAGGAGTGGGCTTTACCCACATCCCAGCATAGAGTTAGAGTTAACTCGTCTACTCTTCCAGCTGAGACACCAGTGTAAGAAATCACTAGCTTAGAGGTTTTGAATGTTTTGAATGTCTTCTGCCCCAACTTCTGCCTGGAACTGGTGTCTTGGGGTGGGAATATTGCTGGTTGCTAGGGATCTGGTTGTCCAGAAAACCCTTGGCTCCCAGCCATGCCTTTGTCCAACCTTCCTGAGTATCTCAGTGCCCCACCCCCACCCCAACTTCAACCATCGGCACAGACAGAGAGCCTCAGAGTAGTTTTCATCTTGCCTGGGGTTCTGACTCAGTTTTCAGACCTGGGGGGAGGGGAGAGCTAGGGAGCCTCCAGTTCAGAGGGAGGAAGCCCTCGGTGGTATCATGGTTCCGGTGCATACTCACAGACTCCCTGCAGCTTGAGCTCTCCCGCCTGTGATTAGAGCAGTCTCACATGTCTAGTCCCAAGGTTGTGGTAGGTGGGGACTCTTCCTGTATGTGCAGAGTGAAGTGGAGAAGTGAGGCAAATGAATCTGGGCTCTGTAGCCAGCCTGTCCTCATAGCTGGACAGATGGGCCTCATGCACAGGGCTTACTCTAAGTTAAAGAGGGTTCTGAGGTATTTGTTTATTATTTTTTACTTGGTTTTGTTTTTCAAAAGCAGTCTAGTAGACATCCTATCCTGCCTTGTGCCCCCAAGGGTGCAGTCCACTCCCCAGAAGCTGCACAGGCATGCTTGTAGATGTGCGATCTATGCCAGGCCCCCTTTAACCTGCCTTTGTCCTTCCAATGGCCACCTTTCTCTGTGAAACACACTGAGATGTTGAACCGGGTCACTAATGTACAATGTTAAGGTGACGTGGTTCCTAGTGGGACCCATGAGGACTTGGCATGGCATACAGTGAAGCCTTCCTTAGAGGACTAAAATGTAGGTCTTTGGTCCAGAAATGAAGACAGTGGTCCCAGCCCTCACTGCTGTGGTGAAAGACCTTCATTAATTGTAGGCCTCTCCTCATGTTGGCCATGGCTTCCCTCCTTGGCCCATCTTTCGTCTGATAAAAGGAGTTAAAACCAGAAAGCTTGGGTGGATGCTAGCCACTGTCCCATGGGAAGGCCCCATGGTGCCTACTGGGTGTCCACCTGAGACCGGCCTGCACAGCTTCCCTCCTGCACACTGGATGCATAATTAGAGAACAATGTGGTTAACTCGCTGCCTTGCAGCTGTTGACTGCCAGTGCTCCAGGAGTGAAAAGCTTGAGATGGGCCTTGGAGACTGGGAATTGAGAAAGACTGCTTTTCCCCAGGGTCAGCAAGTCTCCACCTTGTCCCTTTGAAATGTTCTGATCTTTCTGTTATGAAAAAGAGAAAGAAAGCCTTGCTGTCTGGGCCAGGCTAAGAGGCTTTGAAGGACGTTTCAGCCCTCTGAGTGATGATGCATCGTGTGGTCTGCACTTTTTTATTGTGATCTGTTTTATTCCTATTGAGTTTGTTAAATTGTACATCTTCCTGATGCTTTCCTCAGTTGGTTTATAGCCAGGCAATCGTTGTTTTATGCTGAGTTTTAAGACCTGCCAGAGCCTGTGCCTTCCTCCTGGATACTAATTCCCAGCTCTCTGATAGTTTTGCCCATTTATTTTCCTATACAAATTTAAAAACCATTTTTATCAAGTTCTATAATAACCTTGGTGATGTTTTGCCTGGAACTGCATAAAGTCTATAAATTAAATGAGGAAGCACTGTGGTCTCTTCTGCATTAAGTCTTAAGCCTGGAGTCTAGTCTCTTCATTTATTCAAATCTTTCTCACATTAAGGGCTTTTATTTTCTTTATACAATTTGAATGTAAAATGTGGTATTTGATCCTTGAAGAGGTGGCACAGGTAGGTTTCTCAGGCATTTGATGCATTGTTTTGTGAACGGGCTGGCTGTTTTTCATTAGATTTCCGGGCTGTTGATAACATGTTCATGGGATGATGCTAGTTTCTGTACAGTTTCCTCAGATTCTGCTACTTCCAGAATGGACTGATTGATGAGGCCCCCAGTGGCTCCCCAGTGCATGCTCAGCTGACTCTGGAGGGGAGGGTGGAGGGCTCAGCTCCTCCACAGCTCGCCCAGCGCTGGTCTGAGGGTGAGGACTCTCCCCTGAGCTCTCTCCACTCAAACTGAGTTGGGAAGGTGCTCACCTGACTGGGGCTACACAAACCTCCCACCTTTTGGGATTTTGTTGTTGTTGTTGCTTTTTCTTTTTAGAAGGACAGGAAATGATAATTAGAAGTTTGTATGGGAGTGTTTGTTTTGCCTTAAGTTTTTGGATATTTTAAAAATAAGTAGGAAATGTTTTAAAAATCAAACTGAATTTTACCACTCCCCCAACAATTTAAAATCGAGCTGGTGTTAGGGCACGAAAAGAACCTTACCAAATGTAGGGACTAATGGAATTCCTGTGTTGCATCTGCTGATGGTGTCAAACTGCTAATTAGCAGGTGAAACTATAGACATTCACAGTCTCAGGAGACCAAACAGCGCACTTCTGGGTGACAGACAGGTGGGGGAGGACTAAAGAAGAAATTAAGAAACTCCTAGAAGAAAGTGGATAAAAACACAACAAACCCAGTCACTGACACCAATGATGCATTTTGAGAAAGAGTTTACAGCTCAGCACCTCCTTAAGGAAGAGCAAGGTGGCTTAGTCTGACTTCAGTTCCAGAACCCATGTGGCCAAGTTGTCCTCTGACCTCTGTACATATATGTGTGTATGTGTGTGTACACACTAGATAGATAGATAGGTAGGTAGGGAGAGAGAGAGAGAGAGAGAGAGAGAGAGAGAGAGAGAGAGAGAGAG